CAAAGGGAAGAAAGGTATTGTTTGGCAGAATTGGCCCATGAGAGAGTTGAGCTCTTCTATTGAGAGAAGTTGTTGAGTACCCATGTACTGGGCTTGGAGAAGTATGGATAGCCATAGTTGATGGTCGAAATTGGACAGACCCTGGTGAAGTAGGTGGGTTGCTAGTTGTGCCAAGTAGTGGGGGTCCTGGATGGTGATGGAGATGGGTACTGGACCAACCATCATGTGTAAATTTTGGAGAGTGGCCTTGCAGGGCCATCTCCATCCACAACTCCGGCGTCGAGTTGGGTGGTAATGGGATAGTGGACATGGTTAGAGGGTGGTTGTTCAGTGGAGGGTTTAGGTTGCTTGGAGTCGACATTGAGAGGAGAATTTTGGGGAAGTTCTCTGGTTGAGCTAGGGAAAGAAGGCATCTCTTTAGTTGCCTTGGTATAAACCATTTGGGGGCTGTTGGAATATGTGAAGTGCCAATTAAGATCTTTGCTCAATCTTGATGGAGTGTCACTTTACTGATGAGCAAATGAGACCGATTTCCCCTAGGCATTGGATTTCCTCTATTGAGAGGTGCGTAGACGGGGTGGTTTGATCAGTGCTTGAGTGTAGGTTTGAGGGAGAGTGTGGTTGGGTTATTAGGCTGGATGGCTGGCCCACTGTAGATGAGTGCTTGAGTATGGGTTTGGGGGAAAATGTGGTTGGGTTGGATGGCTGGCCCACTGTAGAATGATTATTAGGGGGTTTGATGTTAGGGTATAATTACCCAAATATGGGTAAATATCAAGAGCAGAGATACTACTCGATTTGGGGGGAGGGGGGGCAATAGCCAAATTGTTGGTGGGTTCCATCCCTTCTCCTTGATCCTGATACACCTTTTCCCTTTTTCCAATACACGCGCCCTTAATCCCAGGGGAGGGATCTTTGGTCAACGTTGCATTGGCATCAAAATGCCTTTTTAGCCCAAAGATTCGTGGTATTGGGCTGGCGTGTTTTTGGCTTGCGGGTTGTAGAAGCGATGGGCCGATGTGATTCAGGCCCAATTTTTGTAGACTATGTAACCCGAATTTGCCATCATGGTTAGGCTGTCCAACAAGCCCCATAGCATCTGTATTTTGGCCGTGTGGAATGGTAGTCCATTGGGCCCCAAGTCATCTATTGACCATTTGTATTTAGGGTTCCGGTTGCCGGAATTTGTGTCTGAAAATTTTTTGGGGTCAAGGAACTTACTTGATGAGGCATCAAACCTCTTTACGTGGGAGTTGCTTTGGGTGGCCTTGTGAGGTTGGCGTCTGTGTTTTGAGAAGGTGACTGTGCGCCACTCAGAGATCTGATCCTTTGGGTTGTCCTCGCTGTTGGTGCCGTTGGTGAGCTTTCCTTGAGTGACCATTGTTCGGAATTTACAACTTCTCATGGTATGGTCAATTCTCCCGTACCTCGTAGAGAGAATCCCTTCCCCTTCATAAACTAGTGCCTGATTGTGGGTGCCAATAATGACTTTTGTTGTCACCGGAATATCTAGAGGAAATTGGACACAAATTCTTGCATATCTTCCTCTTAGGGTGGAGGAAGTACATGTATCGATCTTCAGGAGCTTGCCCACTTTGTTGCCTACTTGTTCTAGAATGACTGTGTCATAGAATTTCGTTGGCAATTGTGAAAGTCTGATCCAAACCGCCGTTATGGCAAGCTTGGATGGTGCCGGAACAAAATTTAGTTCCCTTCTGCGGATTGACAGAAAGTGCCCTACCACAAACCAAGGACCCTCACTTAGAACTTTACTCATGCTCTTTTATGTATTGAATTTTGCGATGAAGAACTCCCATCCTAGGCTCAATTAGGGTAAGGGGTTCTTCTAGTTTCCATAGATTGGAGAGTTTGTCCTTGAGTAGGTGATGTGGGATTTCCCCCCTAAATAGTTTAATGATCAAGGAGTGTTTCCAGGGTTTATACAGTCTAATTTTGTCCTCAATAGACAAAGGGATCGGTATGTTTCCCGAATTTAGTTCAAAAGCTTGTGTAAGGCCACTGGATTGAAGCGGGTCATAGCTTGAAGAGTACGCAAGATTTTTGTCCAGTAGGACTTCTTTTAAGGAGATTGGTTCTGATTTGTCTTCCTCCATAGCGTTGGTTGACGCTATTTGTGATGTATCTGGAGGTTGCGGTGATTTTCCGATGGGGAGAGAGGGTGGGGATGTGGCCATGCCTGATTGGTTGGGGTTAGTGTTTTGGTTACTATAAAGGTGCATTAGACGAATAGTATAACTAAAATGGTAAATCTAACCCCTTTTCATAATTTATATAGATAGATATTAAAAAAACTAGATAATAAGCAACTACAAAGTAGGGATTGTAATTCACATAGGGGTCGTTTGGTTTGAAAATAATTTATGATTGGATTAGCTATACCGAGATTAATTATATTGAAATTATGCTAATATTATTTTTATTGGCTGATTGATATATTATATTAATCCTTGTATTATCAAGTTCACTATTCTGGAATAACTTATCATCAGAAATTATTCCGGTATTATTTTTATAATACATTACTAAATTTTTATCCCAAATTATTTTTGCAAACGACCCCTTAATGTTTTTCCCTCGAACAAGAAAAGAAGCAGTGATATTTAAGAAACTTTTGCTCCAAACTATTCAGAAGCACTGCTTTGATTGAATACAATGGCGTCAGCGGAAGTAGCGAAGAGGAGGACGGAGACGGAGACGGAGAGAGAGGAGAGTTGTTGTTCGGCGGCAAAAGGAACGAAGCAAGGAGAAGGGCTGAGACAGTATTATATGCAGCATATCCATGATCTCCAGCTTCAGGTCCGGCTCAAGACTCACAATCTCAATCGACTTGAAGCCCAACGCAATGAGCTCAATTCCAAAGGTTCATTCCAATTCTCGAAACCGGAACTTTATTAAACCTAGATGTCTGTATTTTAGAAATTCCTTCCCTGTTTACGTTTGGGGGCTATTTGCTACGCGTACTGCATTGCTATGTGAATTTGATCTGAACTGAAATCGTTATTATATTATGAATTTTCAAGTTAAAGCCAACAATTTCTATTTTTAGCACGGTAACTGCTTCCACTGTGTTAATGGACCCCAAAAACTTCCAGTTAATTCCGATGATTAAACAAGAAGAATGAGTTGTCATTCTTTCCTCTTTTATAGAGATCCTATTTTCTATTTTACCCTTCTGATATTTTAGTTTAAATTGGTGTATTTTTTTTTTGATGCCTGTCGTTTTGAGTTGTAATTTGGAATTTTACAGTCTATGAACGGGACAGTGTTCTGTTTGGCTCATAAGATGTGTTTTCTTCTATGTGTATGCCCAGTGAGAATGCTTAAGGAAGAATTGCAATTGCTTCAGGAGCCTGGATCATATGTTGGTGAAGTTGTTAAAGTGATGGGGAAGTCAAAAGTTTTAGTTAAAGTAAGTAATGCATCTAAACCTTGTCATTTTCTTACTTATCCAAGAAAGGAAAAACTTCTTGTTATCTGTGAAATTCAAAGTGTTTTTCCTACCATATAAAATCTGTCAAACACATGCTTTCATATTACAGAAGTTCCTGTGAGCTTTCCCTTGGCATCCTGTCAATGTTTATTTTCCTAATGCATATCCACAATCATTTAAGGTTCATGTGCTTTTGGTTCCCTTCTGTGAGTTTTTCCTTGGGAAATGTTGCTGTTGGTTCATTTAGCGGCGCACTGTTCGCGGTGATGTTTACGTTACTAATGCATGTAGCAACAACCATTTATGTTTCATGTTCTCTCCTTTTTTTTATTTTTTTTAAATTTTTTTTTACTCTGTTTTCGTCTTATCGAGCCGAGGGTCTATCGGAAACAGCCTCTCTGTCCCGATCGGGCCAGGGGTAAGGTCTGCGTACACATTACCCTCCCCAGAACCCACTATGTGGGATTTTACTGGGTAGTTGTTGTTGTTGTTGTTGTGCTTGATTGACTTGCTTGCTAGCAATTTGCTCGCTTAGTGCTTGTTTTTGTAGATGAATGAAATAGCTCTTTTTTTGTCGAATTGATTTGCATTCTTTTTCTGCTAAAAGGAATAGTTTTTGCCCCTGAAGGTCTTCCTAGGTGGCGGGAATGAGGGGATTTTCTGTGATCACACTAAAATAGTTGACTTGAAATGCATATTCTCTTAGTTAGTGCACACACACAGATACACATATGTATGCATATTTCAGCGACCAAAAAAAAAAAAAGAAGTTATCTACACAGCTTGCATTTTTGGAGCATTGTGTGGGATGACTTCACAAACATGATTATATCAAAACTTTTTAAGTGCTTATGTGATTGCAATGAAAGATGAGGCTCTAAATTATACAATAAGTTACTGTCAAGCTCTCAGGCACACTCCCCGAGGAGCCTGGGAACAAGGAATCTTAGGTTTCCATGAACACCATTAGAAAGCCCCCAAAATTCCGACCACTCCACTGAAATTTTTCCGACGAAGAAGCTGCCACGCGCTACCACGCGCGGCACCTACCGACGACCTAATCGCCACGCGCCGGGCGTGTGAGCCCTTTTCCGGCAGGGTTTCAAAAAACTTCTTTTGGACAGCTTCCTCTACTGATAATTCCGACCAGATCTGTACAATTTTTTCAGATTTCCGGCGACTTTTATTTTTTTCGGGGAGCGGGGAACCTCTGTTTAGTCCAGATTTCAGTATCTTTTACATCAACAGCTCAACTGTGATTACCATCAAACACTCCTTATAGTTTACATAACCTGAGCAGCTGGGTGGTACAATATGGGAGACAACCGGATTTATTTCAACGCAGGATTCAAATCTTTTGACATCACCAGATGGAATTCCAACAAAGATGTATGGTTCGAATGGGTGGAGAGAAGTCGCAGCATGATGAGACGTTCATCCATGGGCAAAAAGGCAATGTAATGGATTTGTTTTGTACTTAAAGAAGCATCAACAGATCAAATGAATTTAGTGAAGTGATGGAAGTACAAGGAACATATGACAGAACATTTCTGTACCAGGAAATTCAACGTTCATGGAAGATACATGAGCATTCTGTCACTGAAGGGAGAAAAGAGGTCTGTTATTATAATTCCAGAGTTAGCTTTGAATGCAGGTTGGAAAGACATAGCAGCTAAGATAGAAATATTCATACATCAGACCCCCAAAATGAATCCCACAGCCCCACCTAGAATCACTGTGGACAACTACCCTTATGTCAAAGCAATCAAGGAGAGTAAATGGCAATCCAATACCCTTCGAGAGGCAAAGGTCAGCATAAACAATGGAGATATCTCTGTTGTGGAACCGACAGGTAGCGAAGATTCTGGTTTACTAAAAAGATGCATTGTCGGGTTTTTTGGGAAAGAAATCAACGAGAGACCCACTTTAGCAGACATAAGGCGATGGGCTAGTGCGTCATGGAACAAAGCATATGGAGTAAACATGTATGAAATGACAGGCAACATGTTTCTTTTTGAATTTCCAAACAGATTCATGGCGGAGCAGATTATGCAAGGAGAATGGAGTTGGAAAAAGTTCAAGCTTCATCTGGAATGGTGGAGTCATACTGCTGGATGCATTCCAAACTCACAAATTGAGGAAACATGCTGGATTAGAGCCATGGGTATTCCTTTACATCTATGGTCACAAAAGATCTTCAAAGAAATAGGAGATATCTGTGGGGGATGGATAGCTACTGAAGAAGAAACTGATCTCAAAAATCATCTTAAGTGGGCAAGAATTAAAATTGTTGGTGATGGCAGAAAGACTCCCAATGAGGTTGGGATTGAAAGAAACGGTATCAAATTTTTCATCCCAATCTGGGCTGAAAGACAGACAAGATATGAGCTGAAGATGCAAGAAAACGAACAATGTTTTGAAATAGAGAGATATTTGAACAATCTAGTGGGGTGCACCATATTGTAAAACACTGATAAAGGAAAGACAAATGTGCAACTTACACAAGGTTCGAGTTCGATGAATCAGAGCAGTAAAGCGACAAACAACGAGCTGAAATCCTATGACTCCGACTTGGCTGCACAAGTCATTTTTAATGATCTCTCGTGTGAGTTTTCTAATGATATTAGGCTGAAGCCTTGTATTGAGGAAATGGGAGGACCTTCTTACCTGGGGCAAAAGAGTCCGCTCCAGGGGACCCAATCCCCAATGAAAACCTTGAAAGTATGCCAAAGGCAACACTTAACAATTGCAGTCAGCCAGAAGGTGGAGCAGAGATAGCAAGACTGGAACAGAAGGCAGGGGAGCAGAGCACAAACACAAAAATGGGGGAAGATCAAGTTGGAAGTGCTTTGGAACAACTAAAACACTTTAGCTCTATCCAAGATTGGGAAATCGAGGAGGTGAATCCTATTGCAGTTCAGCAACACAATCCATTAATGGATAAAGACATGGATGCAACACTATGAGTCCATCAAAATATGATCAAATTGGGGAAAATGTTTGGAGTAGATTTTCAAGGCCATGAAGAAGAAGTATTGGAGTTGTTAATGCAAATTGACAGTTGTAGACAGGTTAGAAGGGTGGAGACAGAGTTGGCGGTGAAGAAACAAAGATTCAAAGGATCACTGGAATTAAAAGGTTTAACTTCGTTTGATGTCAAATTCAAGAGTGACGGGAAAAGGAGTAGGGGAAGAGATCTATCAATCATTTCAATATGAAGATCAAAGTAATTTCCTGGAATGTAAGGGGATTAAACGACAAGAAGAAAAGGGAGATCATAAAAAGTCAAGTGCAGAACTGGAGGGCAGACATTATATGCATGCAAGAGACAAAAGTGGAGGGGGATATTAAGGAAATAGTCAGTCAAATATGGGGTGGTAGATGGGTGAGGTATGCAAGTTTAGAAGCTAGCGGCACGAGAGGGGGGATTTTGTTATTATGGGATTGCAGAGTATGGAAAGGGGAGGTGTTACAGACTGGTGCATACACTTTGACTTGCAAGTTCGAGGCTCTTTTACAGAATTTTCAATGTCACATAACAGGAGTGTATGCCCCAAATTGTAGAATAGAAAGGAAAATAGTATGGAGAGAAATTGGTGCAGTGAGGGGATTGATGGAAGGTCCTTGGGCGGTTTGTGGCGATTTTAACGTTACAAGTTACCCTTCTGAAAAACGGGAATGTTCAAGGAGGTCCAAAGCGATGGTGGAGTTCTCGGATTTTATAGAAATGGAGTTGATAGATCTACGACTTGAAGGAGGCTACTATACTTGATTCAAAGGGGACAATCATACCGCCGCTTCAAGAATTGATAGATTTCTCATTTCAGAAGAATGGGATGAAAGCTTCAGAAACATCAAGCAAACTATATCCAACAAAGGTTGATTTCGGACCATTCACCTGTGGCTCTATAATGTGGTGCGTGGGAACAAGCTAAATCATACTTTAAGTTTGAAAATTGGTGGCTGAATGTGGAAGGTTTTGATGACAAAATTAGAGACTGGTGGACATCTTTTGAATTCTCAGGAAGACCAGATTACATTTTAGCTTGCAAGTTAAAAGCTCTCAAGGGCAAGCTAAAAGAATGGAGCAGAGTTTATGAAGGTAATTTGGGACTGCAAAAATCAAAATTGCTAAGTCAACTAGCAGGTTTTGAGACAACACAACAACTAAGAGCGCTNAATTTTAACGTTACAAGGTACCCTTCTGAAAAATGGGAATGTTCAAGGAGGTCCAAAGCGATGGTGGAATTCTCGGATTTTATAGAAGATATGGAGTTGATAGATCTACGACTTGAAGGAGGCTACTATACTTGGTTCAAAGGGGACAATCATACAGCCGCTTCAAGAATCGATAGATTTCTCATTTCAGAAGAATGGGATGAAAGCTTCAGAAACATCAAGCAAACTATCCAACAAAGGTTGATTTCGGACCATTCACCTGTGGCTCTATACTGTGGTGCGTGGGAACAAGCTAAATCATACTTTAAGTTTGAAAATTGGTGGCTGAATGTGGAAGGTTTTGATGACAGAATTAGAGACTGGTGGACATCTTTTGAATTCTCAGGAAGACCAGATTACATTTTAGCTTGCAAGTTAAAAGCTCTCAAGGGCAAGCTAAAAGAATGGAGCAGAGTTTATGAAGGTAATTTGGGACTGCAAAAATCAAAATTGCTAAGTCAACTAGCAGGTTTTGAGACAACACAACAACTAAGAGCGCTGACAGAGGAGGAATCAGTGAGGAAAGCAGCTACTCTAATGGAGATTGAGGAACAACTCAAGAATGAAGAAATTGTATGGAGACAAAAATCAAGAGCTCTGTGGCTCAAAGAAGGGGACAGGAATACAAAAATTTTCCATCGCACTGCAAATGCACACAAGAGAAACAACAACATTGATCAACTAATGATTCGACATGAAGTAGTCGAGGATCCAGACAGAATAGAGATTGAGATAACTGAATTCTACAAGGAGTTATACAAAGAACCTGAAGAGTGGAGACCAACAGTCAGTTTCGAAAATAGTTCAAGAATTTCTGAATCAGAAAGAGAGTTTTTACAGAGTAACTTTGAGGAACAAGA